TAACCACGTAATTTCAGAAAAAACTGCACCGATCCTTGGGGAGCGGTGCTACAAAATCTAAGCGCTAGAATTAGCCTAGTAGTCGATTCCAACCGTTTAAATGTTTTCGACTGATGATGTGATGATAACGTTATGCAACACCCAGTTCTGGAAGATAAACTTCTTCCACTGCGTGGTTCACCTTCCAACGACTCTCTCCCTTCTGAAAATCCCTTAAACCTCCTAGAAACCTAGGCTCTTGGCAAAACAATATCTCCATAGGTCTGTTTAGCAAGAGTCCCCGTTGCACTGTGCTCAAGTCTGAAGCAAAAGCTGATAGAACACCGTTGCTCGAAATTGATGTCACTTATTTTTAGAATACAAAAAAATTGCTACGGACAACCAAATCACTCCAGCGAGTTCACATGTTACTCTGCCCACCAGTGTTGCCAGATCGAACACTACGTTGCTAATGTCATCATTTAACCTACAGAGCTCGTACTAACACAAACTGGAGGCTCGGCGTGGTGCCTTAATTTAAGGATCTTAAAATTCAGATCTCACGACGATTTTAGAGCTCCACACTCAGTTTCACTAACATATTTCACATAACACTAAACTGGTACCAATTTTCAATACCCAAATATTATCCTATTAGATAAATGTTCCAGTTTATTTTTCTCCTTTATAGAGACAGACGCCATCAGTAAACTATTTACCTGTTCCGCTTGCCACCGTGTATACTAGCCTTCACGACAAATTGGTTTCGGAGCGTCGCATCATTCATAAAACGAGTTATTTCTAATTATGATCACATCAAATACATCTGTCATTTAATTTTACTTTCATTAAATTTTAAATTTGAACGATTTTCATTTCTGCCCCTAGCTCATCCGCCACCGGATCGATACGAATCTTCAAACTGAGACTTCAAACGACTTATAAAATGATCCAAGATTGCTCTCAGCTGCTAATGTTGAACCCTTCAACCGTTACAGCTACGCTAAAATATAGTTAAAAACATAAAGTAGACGGGGGGGGGGTTTGAAAAGCCTGGTAAGGCCTCGTTTCATTATAAGAGGGATATGTGAATGGCGGCCAACTAAGAATGCGAGGTACTGTATCTGGGAACCTAGCCATCGTGGAGGCTTGCGGCAATAACAGTGGTTGCTAAAACAGCCGACTGACATAGGTTCACGTTCATACAACAGCTGCCGACGGCTGGTTGAACTGCATCATAGCTTAGAGCGACGATGTATAGAATGATTCAATACTAAACGCGTTGTTCAATCACCTTGTAGCTGAAGATGATGTCTAAACAAGCTCGTGAAAACCGCATCTCGATATCTTGTTCCTAACCTAAAATTTAGGACAAGAAAAATTTTATACCGAAATCCCTTAAATTTTTATATTTATAAACTGATTTTTCTGAAATTTGTGGCCCTGAAAAGGATCGATTTAAAAAAAAACGTTTTTAATGCCACCGCAAATACTGACTATCATGCTCTATGCATTCCTGAAGCATCTCATTGGTAGACAAAACTGCAGCTTCAATTTCGGCTCTCGGTGTGTTACGTATTGCATTACGAATCCAGTTTTTCATATCTTCTCTGGCTGTAGGTAAGTCTAAAACACGATGTCCTCTAGCTCTGCCCATAAATAGCGGATTTCACAATCTAACAAGCCATTATTATGCACCAATAGGGTACGAGTACCAAACAGTCCGTCAAATATACCCAATCAGCCTCAAGATCTCTCCGGCAAATGTTTGGCAGCAAATAGCATCAAAGTATTCAAAACAAAACACTGTAAAATATGAAGTGACAGCTTGCCATTGAAATGATTCCAGTTTATTAAATATTATGAAATTATATAAAACTGAGCTAAAATGTTGTTCCTAACCTAAAATTTAGGACAAGAAAAATTTTATACCGAAATCCCTTAAATTTTTATATTTATAAACTGATTTTTCTGAAATTTCTTTTTATTCTGAAGTTGTAGCCCTGAAAAGGATCGATTTAAAAAAAAAACGTTTTTAATGCCCCCGCAAATACTGACCATCATGCTCTATGCATTCCTGAAGCATCTCATTGGTAGACAAAACTGCAGCTTCAATTTCGGCTCTCGGTGTGTTACGTATTGCATTACGAATCCAGTTTTTCATATCTTCTCTGGCTGTAGGTAAGTCTAAAACACGATGTCCTCTAGCTGTGCCCATAAATAGCGGATTTCACAATCCAGCAAGCCATTATTATGCACCAATAGGGTACGAGTACCAAACAGTCCGTCAAATATACCCAATCAGCCTCAAGATCTCTCCGGCAAATTTTTTTGGCAGCAAATAGCATCAAAGTATTCAAAACAAAACACTGTAAAATATGAAGTGACAGCTTGCCATTGAAATGATTCCTGTTTATTAAATATTATGAAATTATATAAAACTGAGCTAAAATTTAAAAAAAAAAATGATATCTGAGTAAAATCCATTTTTTTCAGTTTAGCTGAATGAAGGTTTCTCCATGTTTATTGAAACTTTTGTAATCCATATGTGATTATATTAATTCACCATCACCTACTGTGTGTTAATAGTTTATCCTACATTTGCAAACTTGCACTTCCAAGCTCTTACATGAAAAAGCCTTATCACTAAAATTTTTGTTAGGTGTTGCTTTTCAACACATTCATAAACTTCTTTCCAATTTCTCGAAGACATTTTGACACCACTGGTCCGAAACTGTTTAAGATTTCAACATTCATACATACAGTTGCAGTTGCAGTTTTTTGTTTTGATTTCAGTGTATAATCAGTCGCACCATCGGTGGTGGTACATGGTACACTCAACATAACCAAGTATTTGGGGGTTAGTGCAGATTTAATGTGTATACGAAAGTGTAATATGTAATTCTTCACAAGAAAGATCTTGGAGGGAGTACTTTTTATACGGAAAATCCATTTTTCATAAATAACACAAGTGACCACACACAGACTTCAGTAATGTTGGAGAAGGCGAATAGACCAAAGAAGAATTGACATTTGAAATTAGTGTCTCAAAATGTTAGTGATGGGAGAATACACTTGCAATCAGTGGATTGCATTGGAACGGTTAAAACATATAAATTGAATCGTTTTTACGTTATCTCGACTGACAGACTGGAATATCTGCTCTGTTTCTATACATATTTTTTTGTGGTATTGTTGCATAAAGTAGTTTGTTCACGAACCAGTTCCTAGAACCGAATGCAACTTAATGAAACGAACTAGAAAGCACATCACTATTTCAAGTAATCCAAGTAGGGACAAATTGTCATTTCATTACACTAGTGATGGGAGAGTAGAAAGCCTGAGATTCGTTTGCTTCTGTGACTCAGAGATATAGCGTTTTCTTCTGATGACACTAACGCAGTTTTTGCGTTTAAAATACTCTACCTTAGTTAATACCGTAGATCCTAAATGTGTTTCCAAAACAACATTAAACAACTCTCATGACGTGTCGCGTGCAGTAATGTCAATGAAGCATATTTTTCATTTCTTTGACCTTTTCCGTGTTACTATGATGAATCATCGAAAAAAAAATAATAGTAAACCACGAGCAAACTGCACGGCTGCATTCAAAGATGGAAATCCAAGCAGAAGACAGTAGACAACACCAGCCCGAGTTGCTTCAAGTTCTGTATGTTTCGACAATGATTGAAAAACTAGTTCAAAATGTGCACAAAAAAAAGCATGGATATATAAATTGGTTCTGTTATAAGAATTTTGAATATGGTCCAGTCCAACACTGGTGGAAGAAAACGCGATTGAATAGCTTGGTAATATTTAACAGTTTAGACCATACAAGGCTGATTTCAGTAGCTGCAAGTTGCCTCACATGTCAGAGATTTTCCATTTTCCCCGCGCCCCTGGAGCCTGTGGTTCTCGATACTTGCTTCAGTTGACTTATGTTTATATATTTTACTGGGGATCTTCAAATTTTTCAAAGATTTTTCATACCTTTGGATGTTCTAGAAATTCATAGATAACAATAGAAAATTTCCATAAAACACTTAAACCTGATATCGACACATGTTCCATGCATGTCAGATGGAATTCTTATTTGACCGTTCCTTTTGGTACCTGAGAAAAATCACTTTCCCCACTTGCAGTTCGGTGAGTCATGCAGTTATTTTCGTTCACCGATCAGTATGAACAAAATGTCCCATAACTATCCAAGTCAGTGATACATTTTTGGCTACATTGGTAATTCCATTACGGTTCGCCGTTTTACAGTTAAAGTCTTGTCATGTGCCGAGTGCAGCTAGTGATTATGTTGCGCCATCATACAACGAAAATAGGAAGCTTCCTCTGTATATATATATATATATATATATATATATGAGTATATATAGATTTATACGAGGGATGTCCTTTAAGTTTTGTATATAGAAACATAGTAGGCGGCGCGGATCGAACGTCAGTACTGCATCTTAACCTCACTCTTTAGTAAACTTAAATTCAAAGTTTCACAACAATACGTGCAGTGTTCTCACTACAGTGAATTTTTAAGTGTCACCAAGTCATTAGAAAAATGAAGCTCAACCGAGAACATTTTCGCACCATAATTTATTACAACTTTCAGAGACAATTATCGCAACAAGAATGCCTTGTTGAGTTACTGTCTGTTTTCGGCAACGAAGCGCCACATCAGTCGACAATTTTCCGTTGGTATGGAGAATTCAAACGTGGACCAAAAACGCAGTCACCCAGGAAAACGTCGATGCTGTGCGCAAACTTTGATGATAGTCATGTGACATATCGCGAGATTGAGGCGTCCTTGAAGATCTCAAAGACCTCAATTCAAAAAATATTACATGAAAAATTAGGAGTAAGAAAATTAGTTTCTCGTTGGATACCCTACCTGTTGACTGAAGAGCAGAAAGCAGCCAGGGTTAATTGGTGTCAAAAAACGCTTGACCGTTTCACTTCCGGAAACTTAAAAAATGTGTTCAGCATTGTTAGTGGTGATGAGTCGTGGATTTACTGTTATGAACCAGAAAATAAACGACAGTCGGCTGTTTGGGTGTTCCAAGGTGAAAAAAAGCCAACAAAAGCCATCAGTTCTCGAAGTGTTTCGAAAAAGATGGTCGCGACATTTGTGTCAAAAGCGGGGAACTGTTACTGCGGGTTGGTATACCAACATTTGTTTGCCAAAAGTCATCATCGAGCTTCGAAAAATCAACTCCGAAAGAAGAATCATCCTCCACCAAGACAATGCAAGCTCGCACACAGCCCAAAAAACAAGGCAGTATTTAACGGAAGAAAACGTGGAATTATTGGACCATCCTCCATACAGCCCCTATTTAAGTCCTAACGATTTCTTTACTTTCCCGAAAATTAAAAACAGACTGCGTGATCAAAGGTTCCAGTCACCAGAAGAAACAGTTGACGCATTCAAAAATGCCATTTTGGATCTGCCAGCAAACGAGTGGAATAAGTGCTTCGAAAATTGGTCCGAGCGCATGCAATAAAGTCATTTAAAAATACCTACCGTGTTGTTTTATTTCCATTTGCAAAACTTAAAAGACATTCCTCGTATATACAGGGTGGCCAAACACGTGACGTCATAAAAAAAATTAGATTCCCCACATCGAGAGGAACCCAAATCACCCCCATATATATGGTCCGATTTTGTTTAGTTTAGGAGTTATGATTTTTTTTCGGATTTTTCGAGAATTTTTGAGTTCTGTGTTTACTTTTACCATAACTTCGTTAATAATTGTGATAAATGCCTGCTTTTTTCACGATTATGTAGCTAAGACCTAAGGCTTAACTATCATATAATCATTCAAGTCATGTAACTAATACTACTTTTTAATTTTTTTCAAAATCTTCGAACATAACAAAAAAGTAAAAAAGTGCAACAACTTTGAACGTTTATAAAAAATTGAAAAAACATGTTCTTACTATTCGTAAGTATCTTAAAAACTTCCTTACGGTATCAACTATTTACCGTAAAAATTTCATCAACCTAGCTTTACTACATGCTACCGTAATTGTGGCTCAAATAGAACCGAACCCAAAATTGGATAACCCTCTGCTCAATAGAAATTGTTAGTTTCGGAAAAAAAATTGCAAAAACCACAAAAACACGTTTGATTTTTACTGAACAGCAGATTATTATTCATTTATGTTATTTACAAGAGGTTTTCAAAATGTCTGCCTCTAACAGAAATGCACAGTGTACACCTACGAATGAAATTTTGTTTTAAATCTCTAAATGCTTGTGTGTTGTTTTTCAACACATGTGTCGCTTCTTGAATTTTGTTCCTCAATGAATTTTCATTTGCACATTCTTGGGCGAATGTTATGTCTTTAAAATATCCCCAAACAAAAAAATCAATGGGGTTGAGGTCAGGGGAGCGTGGAGGCCATCGTATCGGTCCGTTTCGTCCGATCCATCAGGCTCTGGTTAGGCCAACCAACAGAGGACACGTCATCACCACCGACCAGCCACGTCATCTACGGCACAGGACACGTCAGCCGTTCTGGTATAAATAACCCCGAAAGGCTAAGTCACCTGCAGACGAAATAAGAGGCCATATATCAGCCGAAACCTCGTGCTCTAAAAAATTGGATATTCCGGGACTCTGCTTTGCATACTGATTTGGACTTTGTTTGCTAAGAAGTTTGTGATGCATTATACGTTGCGTGAATATGCAGAAATGCATTATTATTATGGCGTTGCTCAAGGCAACGGCGCTTTAGCAGCTCAGCTGTACCGGGAACAACTTATACGCCGAGGCGGACCACAACCTGAGCATTACCCAGACCACCGTGTTTTTATTAACACACATAACACTTTCATGGCAGGCCGCATTCCAGGACGAGGAAGCAATGAAGGATATCCTACAGCTGATCCGGATCGCAGAGAAGTAGTACTTGAAGAAATTAGCCGGAATCCCTCAACGAGTACGAGATCTATGGCACAAAACCTTAGAATACCACGAACATCGATGCAAAATATTCTTCATGAAGAAGGTTATCATGCCTATCATGTTCAAAGAGTTCAAGCGTTGATGCCTTCAGATTACCAGTTAAGAGTGGATTTCTGCGAGACAATGCTGCGAAGACAACGAGAGGATCCCGATTTTTTTGATAAAATTTTATGGACTGACGAGTCACGTTTTGAAAGAACAGGGATATTCAATATCCATAATTTACATACTTGGGCTGTTGAAAACCCCCACCAGTCAAGGCCGTCGACATTTCAACACCGTTTTAGTGTGAACATGTGGTCAGGAATATTCAATATGGAATTTATCGGTCCATTTGAACTGCCGTCAAGGTTGGATTCGGTAGCCTACAAAAGCTTCCTTGAAAATAGCCTACCATTATTGCTGGAAGATTCAAGCCTGGAAGCCAGACGGAACATGGTGTTCCAGAATGATGGTGCACCATGCCACAACGCAACGATCGTGCGAAACTACTTAAACGAAAGGTTCCCAGACAGATGGATCGGACGAAACGGACCGATACGATGGCCTCCACGCTCCCCAGACCTCAACCCCATTGATTTTTTTGTTTGGGGATATTTTAAAGACATAACATTCGCCCAAGAATGTGCAAATGAAAATTCATTGAGGAACAAAATTCAAGAAGCGACACATGTGTTGAAAAACAACACACAAGCATTTAGAGATTTAAAACAAAATTTCATACGTAGGTGTACACTGTGCATTTCTGTTAGAGGCAGACATTTTGAAAACCTCTTGTAAATAACATAAATGAATAATAATCTGCTGTTCAGTAAAAATCAAACGTGTTTTTGTGGTTTTTGCAAATTTTTTTTCCGAAACTAACAATTTCTATTGAGCAGAGGGTTATCCAATTTTGGGTTCGGTTCTATTTGAGCCACAATTACGGTAGCATGTAGTAAAGCTAGGTTGATGAAATTTTTACGGTAAATAGCTGATACCGTAAGGAAGTTTTTAAGATACTTACGAATAGTAAGAACATGTTTTTTCAATTTTTTATAAACGTTCAAAGTTGTTGCACTTTTTTACTTTTTTGTTATGTTCGAAGATTTTGAAAAAAATTAAAAAGTAGTATTAGTTACATGACTTGAATGATTATATGATAGTTAAGCCTTAGGTCTTAGCTACATAATCGTGAAAAAAGCAGGCATTTATCACAATTATTAACGAAGTTATGGTAAAAATAAACACAGAACTCAAAAATTCTCGAAAAATCCGAAAAAAAATCATAACTCCTAAACTAAACAAAATCGGACCATATATATGGGGGTGATTTGGGTTCCTCTCGATGTGGGGAATCTAATTTTTTTTTATGACGTCACGTGTTTGGCCACCCTGTATATAAAGAAATTTTGTTATTACGATTTTTGAACTGAGTAAGGTTAGTATTAGCTTCCTCTTGTAGATTGCTCCACAATCTCGACTTCCTCGGGACAAATGAGCGGTCGTACCGGCCAGTTCTGGGTGTACAAAATTCAACACGGTTAGGATGGGAGTCCAAAGCCAGGCGGGTCTGTATGGTCAGCACATCGCGCGGCGGCATCACGGAAGAGAGCTCTGAGGAGCGAAGCCCTTTGGTGTAGCGGTAGAACAGAGCTAGATCACGGATGGCCCACCGGTGTGAAAGGGTCCAGAGACTGTCTGTTAGAGAAGAGTAATCGATCAGTCGAACAGCCCACCTCTGGACAGCATCGAGCATAAATAATGTAGTCGGGACGGCATCACCCCAATACTCGAGGCTAGGTCTTATCTGGGCCTTGTATAGAGTGAGAAGGTCATGCGGAACAAAGTACCTAAACAAATAGCCTAGTCCAGCAGCTGCCGCTATTGACACGATGTGTTCGTGCCAGATCAACTCCTCGGTGATCTGGACTCCGATCAGCCGAAATGAACGGCTCTTAGTCAGAACCCGGCCATCCATCGAAACCGTGTGAGCGCTAGGACGACTTTTGTTCGTCAGTACAGTACTGTGTTGTGGAAGCATTAAACTGTACAAGATTGTTGCGTCCCTAAGCAGTGATAACCTCCAGGTCTCTCGTCAGAGAGGAAGTCGTTGCTAATCTTATTTTTTCCATCTCAGCTGCAGACATCGGCTTGTCATTCTGAATTACTGCATATAGAGTGCTGTCATCAGCAAAGCTGGGATTGGGTTGATCGTGCATGCGAGACGAACCGTGTCAGAGCCAAGGCCAATCCCTTGCTAACACCCGCGATGGCCTTGCGGGATGAAGAGGAGATCCCGTCAATCACGACGGATACCTTGCGGCCAGAGAGAAAGTCAGCCATCCATCTGCAGAGCTTTTCTGGGAGGTTACGGGATGGCAGTTTGAATAAAAGGGCAGCGTGCCACAGCTGCTTGAACGCTTTCGTGCTATCAAGACCAAGCTTACTCCACAACTGCGTGACGTAGCTAGGAGGTCCCCTATGGATCGCTGGTGTCGGAAACCATACTGCCTGTCGCTAATCAAGCCGAGACGTTCGAGCTAGTCCAGAATCTCGCGATTTATGCACCTCTGATCACCTTACTTATAACAGAAAGCAGAGCCATAGGCCCGTAGTTGTAAGGGTCGGTTTGGGACGGGTTGGACATGAGCAAATTTACAGTTTTCTGAATTCATAAGATATCTGAAAGAGACGCCAAAGAACTGGAGCAAGCTCCGCTACTCGCGTCTTCAGTACAAACAAGTCCGGACCAGAAGCTTTGTTGGGGGGCGTCGATGGTGGAGTTGGCAGCAAAGATCTTGGCAAGCACTTTAGCGTTGGCCTTTGAGTCAGTTACAATCGTTCCATCCTGACACGTAAGTGGTGGAAGACTACTGTGTGACAAGTTCTTTTCAATCCACTGGGCCGGCGTCCAGAAAGACCAACTGCCATTTGGCTGCGAATTACCTTGCCAAATCAGACATATCTTTCATCATTTTCAAACAAATTGTACAAAATCTTCAAATTTGTGAAGTTAGCGAGTTTCACTTCATACGATGTTACCAGACATGCCCAAATCATCAGTTGCTGCCGTGATATTCATCCCGACCACTGCATCCCCACGGCTAGGCGACCTGTATGTTAAATTTGTGTTGATAGGGCAACGGGTTATGCTTTAAATCATATGTCACAGTTTTTGTGCACTGATTGCAACGGTCAGATGATACCAAAAATATTTTCATAAACAGCAGATCTTTCCCATTCCGGATCGAACAATCTACCAAAGATGGTTATACTCATGATACCTAGTAAATTTTCATCAAAAATCCGCTGTATGTAGGTATATAAGAGCTTTTTGATATTTGTTCATCAATTTGATGATGCAAAACATCTGCCAAATATGATCATAATCAGGTTAGTAAACTATGACGTTCACTGTATGTAAGAATTTTCAGAGACTTCATTTGCAATTTGACAACAGACCATGATGGTGTCCACACTTTTCAAATATTATTCAAGAAGTGTTATCAGTCTACCTCCAGCTACCATAAGTACTATATCTGTCTTCCTAATTCAAATTCAGAACCAGCAAATGTAAAAGAGTCATTTTGCATCCTTCACCACTGGACGTGATCGTCGTTAAACTTGGCAACCCTACGAGTGATAGATAGATATCACCGCCAGTCAAAAAGGCAATCAAACAATAAGCATTATTAGTTTTTATGATTTTTGGACTTAAAAGACATTATTTGTGAGAAATTTTTCATATTTTTTTGTCTATGTCCATAGTACTTGCAATATGCATCACGGAGATGTAGGAATTGACACATCTTACACATATTATCTGTGTTTCAGGATGGAGAGGACAATGTTTTTATTGCTTTGAAGAAATGCATTATCCCGTAAATTAATAAATGATTACTATTATCATATAAAGGAAGATGAGGAATTGGTTGGAACGATTTTATATTCTATTCTCTTGCAAAATACAGAGAAATCCACACTATTCAACAGGTATGTCGCTATAATGATAACATATAAACACTCAGTATATTGAACTTAACAAATTCGAGATGGCCAAACATTAAATAACGTTCAAACGTGCTGCCAAATTTAACAGCTAGCAAATCGACCTATTATTTGCCGCATTCCCAGTGGCTTTGGAGATAACTGATAATTAAATGTAAATTTATAACAGAAATCAAAATACATGAAAGTTGCCCTGTTTTCTCTGTACAAAAGCCTCATGTTGGAATCAAAAAGTGGTCTTGTTCATAATACAGTAGAATTTTCACGATTTTATTCAATATCTCAATAGAAACCGCTGATATTAAGAGATCTTTGGCAGCTTACGTCTAATTGCATTTCAATAAGGTCTTTTCTTATTGGTCCAAACTGATTAACGATGGTAAAATTGACCCTAAGACTGTTCAAATCGTCATTTCGAATGTACAGGGTGTTCTTTACGGAAACTTCAGAATATCCCCCCACCACTTTATTTTTAGAGATACATCAAAAATTGTCAAACAAAAAAGTTCACATTATCCTCTACTTTAAACATCAGGTTTTCTTTGTTAGGTTAGTATAGCGGAATTTACAGAAGCATCACTTGTTTAGATTCAAGATTGCAGTTACGCCCACTAGCGGCCATTTCAGAAACCTGAAAATATTTTACAGGATTTTCTCTTGTCTGTTTTAGTAACAGCTTTTTTCCCGCAAGCCTCTACGATGGATAGGTTCCCAGATACACAGTAGCTCGCATTCTTAGTTGGTCACCCTGTTCAATATGCCAAGTGAATATTCGCCTACATGGTTATTGAAATGGCCTCCGCTTGTTTCAAGGATTAGAATCACAAAGTGGAATGTCTCTCCAGATACAAGATGCTTGAACATCGTGTTTAGTACTGGATATCGTTGCTCTAGCTATGATGAAATTCAACCAGCCGTCGACAGCTGTTGGATGAACATGAACATATATCAGTTACCAAAATCTAATAACAATAACTATATTTATTACAAAATATGTGCAAATAAATTTAATGTACACACACGACTGTTGCTATTGGGGATAGGTAGAGAGTATCTTTCATTTTTCCCTTGAACAACATTGAGATATTGACTAACTTCAGTATATAAATCTCCGGAGTACCGCCTACCACTCACCTTATTGTACTAGGATTTTTCTGCCTCAGCTTAGACATGGCATCTGAAGAGATAAATGAATCTTTGGGAAAGTGAAAGATGAAGCACATTACTTGATACTGGCTTTGTCCTCTCTCCTCTTCCCCAAGGATCAAGGCTTTCAGCATCTGCACTTCCTGAAAAAGAAAAAAATATGTTAAACGAAGTTGCAGTAACCATTTTTATCTTAATGGGCAAAACAATTCTAGCTGATATCAGAAATATATTTTAATTAGCATACTCGTATCCACTACAACAAATTTGCTCTGCAACATGTTGTGTGTCATGCGCTGGCCAAATATCACTCAGAATGATTAAAGTGGAAGCAGTATGCAACATGTTCCTAAACAAGTTTTCAACAAAAGCATGCCTGTGGCAGTAGCGTGAAACATGTGCTGTAGCGCATGTATCGCAACTAGTGTCAAGCTTTTTTTAATGTAGTGAGATTAAACAATCATTATAGTCGATTAATAGGAGGAATAAGGTTCTGCAAAAAAAGAAATCCGTTTTTTAAACAATTATTGCTTTACGAGTGATCCCAATTTTTGAGGTGGTTGATATGGTTTAATCTTCTCCGTTTACCAATGGCGACTATTTTTGCATTATACTGAAATTCGTACGAATCTTGTTTGAAAGAACTATCTTTATTAGACTTAATCTGATATCTCCTCCCTCAAAAAGTTTTCGACTGCCTAGATACAGGTGAACGAAGCATAGCCCAGACGTTTCTATGTACCTTCTGCCATGGTGTCACAATCATCCAATTTTAATTATTAAGCGTAATTTCATGCACCACAACATTTCAGTAACTAATCGTGTGTATCTGTAGTCTTGAGGGATGTCCACCAACTCATAGTCAATTTATTTGGCATCTGATGGTCTGTCGTCTCCACGACAACTACTGGTTTTTCATAAGCAATAACATGATAACCAACAAAGTAGCTCAACTTATGGAAATGTCCATCTTACAAATTGGTTCAGGGCAATGTCGCACCGCAATGACAGTCGGTCTTTCTGGACGTTGACCAAGCAGGTTGAAAAGAACTTCTCACACAGTAGCCTCTCACCACTTACGTGTCAGGATGGAACGATCGTAACCGACTCAAAGGCCAAGGTGGAAGTGCTTGCCAAGATCTTTGCTGCTAACTCCACCACTACACTATGATGAAAGTAACATTGAGGCATAAGACCGTAAGACGAGTGCTATTGTCCGTCGACATCAACAAAGCTTCTGGTCCGGACTTGATTCCTGCCATTGCATTGAACAGTTGTGCACCGGAGCTTGCTGCAGCTCTTTCGCGTCTCTTCCAGATATGAATTCGGCAAACCGGATATTTCTCATGTCCAACCCATCCCAAAAAGGGATATAAGACCGACCCTTACAACTACAGGCCTATAGCTCTGCTTTCTGTTATAAGTAAGATGAAGGAGAGGTGCATAAATCGTGAGCTTCTGGACTACATCGAACGTCACGGCTTGATTAGCGATAGGTAGTATGATTTCTGGCACTATCGATCCACAGGGAACTTCCTAGCTTACGTCACGTAATCGTGGAGTAATGAATGAATGAATGAATGAATCGTGAAATTAGAGGCATTCCGGCCACCATAAGGAGCCAGTGCATATGCAACTTAAACGGGCCCTTATTCACCTCTACATTCCTTAGATCACAAGCCTCGCCCTTTTAGCGAAGTTGAGAATCGCCTTGAGTCCAAGCTCCTTGACGTCCTGAGGGTCCAAAGTAATGGACCCCAGTATAGTCTGCCTGTAGTAGCTCAAAGCTTCACAGCGACACAAAACGTGCGCCGAGATCTCTTCCTCTACCCCGCAGCGCTCACACAAGGGATCCTCAGCCACCCCCATCACGTACACGTGGCGCCTTAACGTGTTACAGCCAGACAACAGTCCCACCAGCAACCTTAGGTTGGCTCTATCCAGAAATAAGCAGAAACGTCCATCCTAAGCACTGGGCCCTTCAATGAGTTCTGGTGCCTGGCGGAGATGTCTGGAGATACTTCTCCATTTCTGAGAGTGTTGTCTTACAATCCAAGTCTCCATTTTACTCCTCTCTCTATGCGCGGTCACTCCTAAAGCTGCCTCAGGACCAACGAGCTTGCTGGCTGATCCTGTCTTCACCAGAGCGTCCGCCGTCTCATTGCCCCTTATCCCAGCGTGCCCCGGTACCCACATTAACGATACCGGATTCCTCGCTGAGAGGCAATCCAGAGCTTCCCTGCATTGCAATACAAGACTGGAAATAATCTTACAGGCACTTAGTGCCTTCATTCCAGCCTGGCTGTCGAATAAGATTGTTATTCTTCTCGTAGGCCCACCCTCGTCCAGAATGCGAGATACACAAGCCAGAATCGCAAAGATTTCCGCCTGGAAAATTGTGGAGTAAACTCATCCAGTCTTATGGTGAGGCTCATGTCGTTGCTATTGAAATCGTATGACCTCTCAGAAAGGATTTGCATATGAGTGGCTTTCTCTTGGGCCGCAAGATATCCGTCGTAATTGACGAGTTCTCCTCTTCATCCCACAACGTCAACGAGGGTGTTCTCCAGGGATCGGTCTTGGCTCTGACACATAAACGACCTCCTTTGCTGCACGATTAACCCAATCCACAGCTTCCCTGATGACAGCACTCTACATGCTGATCTCTGCCACTGAGTTGGAAAAAAGAAGGCTAGAGACGGCTTCCGTTCTGACGAGAGACCTGGAAATTGTCACTGCTTGGGGACTAATACAAAGATGTTACTTTTCTGATCAGCTGTTCACTATACGTCAACACGTGATTGCTACTCATGAAATAGGGTTAATAAGTCATACACTAGATATCTGACATAAATTACAAGCTATGACAGACCAGTGAAATCGACCTGTTATACCAAAATTTTAACACAAAAATACAATGAATGATAATTCTAGCTATAAACATCATCGTATTTTACGTGTTTGCGAGGTTTATGTAACTGATGATTAAACTGTTTTTCAAATGACATATAGACAGATACCCTGGAATTGAGGGTCATAAATCACCATGCAAACAAACAAACGCTGTCCCAATTCACTCAGATTGACTGTCATTTATTTAATACGACCGCTCCAGCATTGCAGAAAAGATTTCCATTAAAGTCTAAATTGAACTGTATATTCGTCCTCGTTTCTCTGTTACTGACAACAACGTGAATGTAAATTGAACTGTTTTGGAAATTACATTGAGGCAATTGTGCCGACTTCCTTCCGCTTTTGAATGTGACAGGCTCATTTACAGTGTCTACTGACAGATTTTAATTGCAATTTGCGTTTTGGTGAACCAAGTGACAAGTATGCTTCTTCAGCATCCTTGGACGTTTATTTAGTCTTTGTGTAATACAAAATATTTCGGTAGCAAGAAGCAATATCTTGCTTGATACAGCAGTCACCAAATCGGCAATCAGTGACTAAACTTATACGGATTTTTGGAAAGGATGAAATGACGCCAAGTTTAGCTTAACTTTGATATAACTCAAAAGTACATGGTTACAGCGAAAATGTTCTTCGACTCAAGAAACAAGAACATATTAATGTGTGAGATAATGACATTTTTAAACGACGTACTTTATAAAATTTTGTTCACTACTAACTCTATATTAGATTTTGCATCACGATCAGGACGTTTCCAACTAATTTCGCAAATACTTTGAAATATTTTGTTACCAAACTGACAAATTCAGACCAACGAATGCAGTAGACAGCCGATTCGGAGTGAACCATTGTAGAAGAAAAAAAATGCAAATATTGGTTAGTTATGATTTCATTTCAATCATTTTAAAATATTTCCAAGTATACATCATGTCAAACTGGTAGATATAATGTAATAATACAAGTTTAAATATCACTCAATACTTGCCCAGGTGCTTTTTTGTTATCAACATTTACTTAGGGAGTGAAATGCTACTTTAATTGAAGGATTGCGGTCAATAATAGTTGTTTCTCAGGTTAGTAGTGAAAAACATCACATTCAAAATCGTTTACTCATAGAAAGTGTTAAGATATCATAAAGGATAGAGGTCTTAAAGCCCTGAAATGAAATCCTAGCTGAAAAAGATCGAGAGCCTGAGAAGTGTTCAAAGACAGGGCTAGGCAAAATTGTTGATGTGGTTAATGTAACAGGTTGATAACAAACTTCAAGCCGATATGACAGACAGACCTTAGGAAACAGGGACATAAGTATGTTTCCATGAAAAGCCAAAAAATGTACATAAATCTGACATAAGTTTTGAGGCTTCTGTTCACAATACTTCCCTCGGCTGTGTTGGGTTAACTTCACACCATTACAAAATAGGGAATTTCAAAAAAGTGGTACTAAAAAAGAACATTAGGACGAATCTTTATAATTCATTGTATAAAAATTAAGTGTTAAGTATTATCACAAAGCAAAGAAGAAAATTCTTCATATTTTTACACTACAGGCACATGATGAATGCTTTATGGCACCAGTTTGATAAGAGGCTCCGAAGTGCCCAAAACTCAAACGAAATCCTACAAAAAATACCACTTCACCTGCAACTTACGTGTGCAGTAGCAAGGTTAGAGGGCGATTTTAGCCAATACCTTCCACTTAATTCTGATGCAATGGAACTTTGCACATAAGTTGTAGTCGATGAACGATTACATTTCAGAAGCGTTGCCTAATTGGCCGACATAGCGCGCATACAGTAAATTTACAGTAAATGGACACATATAATGAAAGTGGCCATGAGAAAATGTTGCGAACTGGCTTCCAGTCTCCAAGATGTCCGGTAGGGGGTGTGACATTAACCTTAACACACGAAATGGCGCTTTTCTCAAAAACATACGTCATCAAAATATATGCAAAGCACTTTTTCTGGATACAATGGACAATTTGTGAACTTCTTTGTTCAAATATTTTGTCAGTTTTGTCTCGTTTATGATGGGAGAACCATTTTTAAAAAAGCTCTATGTGTGTTTTTTAAACGTTTGCTAAAACTTCTAGGTCAGACCTGTCGACTCCTGTATGTTTACCCGCTAGGAGGCATAGTCCTAACATCTAAAATTTTGGTTTTATTTGGAAGGATTTCGACACGAAATCATTATCCGTCCGGTTCAGTTCGTCTTTTGCAGCTAGGTGACATA